AAGAGTGAAATCATATCAAGCATCTTCTCAGATCACAATGGCATGCAACTCTAGGAATCACTTGCAAACAGAACATGCAAAGACATTTGTAAACATGGAGGCTTAAAAACCTGTCATTGAACAATAAATAGGTTACCATGGAGACCAAGAAAGAAATTAAAAACTTCCTGGAAACCAATGAAAATGAACACACAACAACACAAAATTTATGGGATGCAGCAAAAGCAGTTCTGAGAGGGAAGTTCATAGCACTACAGACTTACCTCAAGAAGCAAGAAAAATGTCTACCAGACTATCTAACCTCACAACCTAAAGAACTAGAAAGTGAACAAAAAGAAAACCCCAGAGCAAGTAGAAGGAAGGAAATAGTAAAGATCAGAGCAGAAATAAATGACATGGAGACCAAAAAAAATTTCAAAGGATCAATGAAACAAAGAGCTGGTTCTTTGAAAAGGTAAACAAGATTGATGGACCCTTAGCTAGACTCACCAACAAACAAAGAGAGAGAACCAAAATACGCAAAATCAGAAATGAAGGAAGAGAAATAATAACTGACACCACAGAAATACAAAGGATTGTTAACGGATATTATGAATAATTATTATACGGCAACAAATTCAACAATCTAAGCGAAATGGACAAATTTCTAGAAACACATAGTCTCCTGAAACTGAACCAGGAAGAGATAGAAAACTTGAACAGACCAATAACAACAAAATAGATTGAAGATGTAATCAAGACTCTCCCAGCAAACAAAAGCCCAGGTCCAGGCCGTTTCACGGGGGAATTTTACTGAACATGCGAAGAAGAACTAACACCCATTCTCCTCAAACAATTTCAAAAAATTCAAGAAGAAAGACTTCCAAACTTGTTTCATGAGGCCGAATAATTCTAATTCCAAAACCAGAAAAAGACACTACAAAGGAAAAAAAAACTACAGACCAATATTCCTGATGAACATAGATGCAAAAATCCTGAACAAAATACTAGGAAATCGAACCCAGCAATACATCAAAAGAAAGTATTCACCATGACCAAGTGGGATTCATGCCAGTGATGCAAGGCTGGTACAATATTCCCAAATCAATAAATGTGATACACCACATAAACAAAATGAAAGATAAAATTCATATGATTATATCAATAGACACTGAAAAAGTATTCGACAAAATCCAGCACCCATTTCTGATAAAAATGCTCAGCAATCTGGGAATAGAGGGATCCTATCTCGACATAATAAAGGCCATATATGAAAGACCTACAGCCAACATCATCCTCAATGGGCAAAAATGAAAAGCATTTCCCTTAAGAACAGGAACAAGAGAAGGATGCCCACTTTCGCCACTCTTATTTAACATAGTACTGGAAGTCTTAGCCACAGCAATCAGACAGGAAGAAAAAATAAAAGGGATCTAAATTGAAAAGGAGGAAGTGAAGCTGTCATTATTTGCAGATGACATAATACTATATGTAGAAAACCCCAGAGACTCCATTAAAAATTTGCTAGACTTAAGAAATTAATTTGGCAAAGTAGCAGGATACAAAATTAACGTCAAGAAATCGATGGCATTCTTATACACCAATGATTAACTCACAGAAAGAGAAACTAAAAAAAAATCCCATTTACCATCACAGCAAAAAAATTAAGATACCTCAGAATAAACTTAACTAAAGAAATAAAAAACCTATTCATAGAAAACTACAGATCATTGAAAAAAGAAATAGAGGAAGATATAAAAAAGTGGAAGCACATACCTTGTTCATGGATTGGAAGAATTAACATCATTATAATGTTCATACTACCCAAAGCAATCTATAGATTCAACGCAATCCCCATCAAAATATCAACGACATACTTCAAGAACTAGAGTAAATACATCAAAATTTCATATGAAACCAAAAAAGACCTCGAATAGCCACAGCAATCTTGAAAAAGAAGAACAAAGTTGAGGGATCACATTACCAGATTTCAGGTTATACTAGAAAGCCACTGTAATCAAAACAGCCTGGTACTGGCACAAGAAGAGGCATATAGACCAGTGGAACAGATCAGAGAACCCAGAAATGGACTCAAGGCAATATGCTCAATTAATATTTGACAAAGATGGCAAGATCATACAGTGGAGTAAAGACAGCCTCTTTAATAAATGGTGTTGGGAAAATTGGACAACTACATGCAAAAAAAAATGAAACTAGACCATCAACTTACACCATACACAAGAATAAACTCAAAATGGATAACAGACTTAAATGTGATTTATGAATCCACGAAAATCCTAGGAGAAAATGTAGGCAACAAAATTTCAGGCATCATATGCAGCAGAATTTTCACTGATACATCACCTAAGGCAACAGAAACAAAGGAGAAAATGAACACATGGGAGTACATTTAACTCAAAAGTTTCTGCATAGCAAAAGATACAGTCATCAAAATGGAAAGGGAACCCACTGTATGGGAGAGTATAATTGCCAATGATACATCAGATAAGGGGTTAATTTCAAAAATATATAGAGTGCTCACACAACTCAACAAAAGGAAGACAAAAAAAAAACCCAATGAAAATATGGGCAGAGGACCGAAATAGACACCTCTCCAGACAGGACATACAAATGGCCAAGAGACATATGAAAAGATGCCTAACATCACTAATCATCAGAGAGATGCAAATTAAAATGACTATGAAGTATCACCTCACACCTGTCAGAATGGCCGCCATCAACAAATCATTAAGCAACAAGTGTTGGCGAGGGTGTGGAGAAAAGGGGACTCTAGTACACTGCTGGTGGGAATGCAGACTGGTGCAGCCACTATGGAAAACAATGTGGTGTTACCTCATAAAATTAAAAATTGAACTTCCATTTGACCCAGTGATCCCACTTCTAGGAATGTACCCTAAGAAGCCTGAAACACCAATCAGAAGGAATATATGTACCTCCGTGTTCGTAGCAGCACTATTTACAATAGCTAAGATCTGGAAACAGCCCAAATGTCCATCAGTAGACGAATGGATAAAAAAGCTATGCTACATATACATGAGGGAGTACTATACAGCTGTAAGAACGAAAGGTCTCTTATCCTTTGAGATGACATGGAGGGACCTGGAAAGTATTATCCTAAGTGAAACAAGCCAAACAGAGAAAGACAAGTATATGATCTCACTTATTTGTGGAATATAATGAACATAACAGTCTGAGGAATTGGGTAGTCCCAGAAATATGGAAGTGGGGTACAGACTGACAATACTCTGAAGAGGGAGTGTTAGGGGAGAGATAAATCATAGAACTTATATGCATGTATGCATGAACACTGGACATGGACAACAAAGCTGGGGACAGGGCGGGGAGGGAGGGGAATGGGGGGGGGGGAGGAGAAACATCTGTAACAAAAATAAATTAATTAATTTAAAAAAGGAAAGAATAGGGTTCTAAAACTTCATTCAAGAGAATCACCTGAGGGTAACTTGGAACCATGTACACTGATTGGGCCTGGGTGGGTTTAAGAGCACATTTCTAGCAAAGTCCAAGTGATGCCCAAATTACTACTTGTCCCCAGACTGTAAAGTCTTCAGAGCTCCACCTTCAATTCTGCCACCAATATAAGCTCATTAGAAATTCTGCTTAATGTCCTGGCCGATTTGGCTCAGCAGTGAGAGTGTTGGCCTGCGGACCCAAGAGTCCTGGGTTTGGTCTCCACTTAAGGGCAACTTACCTCAGTTGCAGTTTGTCCCTGGCCCCAGTTGGGGTCGTGTGGGTGGCAATCACTCGATGTAACTCTCTCATGTCTGTTTCTCTCGCTCTCTTCCTCCCTATCTCCCTCCCTCTCTATCTGAAGATAAATGCAGAAATGTCCTCAAGTGAGGATTAAAAAAAAAAATTCTGATTATCAATTTTCAGTAAAACAGTGCCTTCACTGTTCTGTGTGAAAAGGACAAGTATTTCACAGGAAAGCCAAAACTGCTTCTCTTTTAACTTTACACCAAAGTGGGAATTAATAAGAAAAAGCAAACATCAACGATGTCATCATAGCACCACTTTTTCAATGATCACTGACCAAAGTTTAGGGTCAACAGGAAATGCACACCCCAAATCCAACCTTTTGTAAGTAAAGAACCTCACCTTTCATAATCTATGCCATATAACCCGACTTTCACACTCAATTACTGCCCCTTCCAAACAACATAAAACACAAGGAAACATCTTGGCCTATTGCCATGCACCCCTCAGAACACCTGATATCATATTAACATTCTATTGACCGCTACGCAGCAAAGCTCCTATCTTGGGGCAACTTTTGCACATAACCTCTCACTTATGGGGTATAAAGCAGCCAGAGTGGGACTTTAGACCACTGAAACATCAGAGGAAACTCTAAAACAAGCAGTCCCGTTTCACCACCACCATCCCCAAGCAAATTAAACAAGTTTACCGAGTACCTTATGAAAACAGATCTGCACTTAAATGTCCCAAATCAAACAAAATCGCAAGACACATTAAAAGTGTAACTTAATACACAGAACTGACTTAAGAACAAAAGCTGTAGTGTGGAATTAATTCAGTGCTGGGGAAGTCCGGTTCTGTGGTTAAGCCTGGAACTTGGGTGCGTTTCACTTTAAATACAGAGGTATTCACTGTTCCTGAGGAGCTCCAACGTTCACCAATGACTCGAAGCTAGGAGCTCCCATGACTAAAATGAGCAAAACTTGACTCCACAACTCCTACACTGAATGAGGGTGTTTCAGGGTTCACCCTTTGTTGCAGGAAATCAGGGTGATTGTCCCAATGTTTACTTAAGATCTCCAGCAAATGGACTAGTTTCACCTGAAAACGCTATGCGTTTTGCCTTGGGAACAATATTGCAGCTATTTGAAACAAGCTCTGGATTGCTGGAGAAAAGTAGGCTTGACTTTCAGACCTTTGGCTCCAGCTCTCCAAATTGAAACTGTAGGTGGCTCTGAAAAGAGCCTTTGGGTTCAAGGTCAAAGCTCGGTAGGAGACTATTATGCCCTCTCCCCGCGAATGCGGCGCGCGAGCTGAATGTCCTTGGGCATGATGGTGACACGCTTGGCGTGGATGGCGCACAGGTTGGTGTCCTCGAACAGCCCCACCAGGTAGGCCTCGCACGCCTCCTGCAGAGCCATGACGGCCGAGCTCTGGAAGCGCAGGTCGGTCTTGAAGTCCTGCGCGATCTCGCGCACCAGGCGCTGGAAGGGCAGCTTGCGGATCAGCAGCTCGGTGGACTTCTGGTAGCGGCGGATCTCGCGCAGGGCCACCGTGCCGGGCCGGTAGCGATGCGGCTTCTTCACGCCGCCGGTGGCCGGCGCGCTCTTGCGGGCGGCCTTGGTGGCCAGCTGCTTGCGCGGGGCCTTCCCCCCGGTCGACTTTCGAGCAGTTTGCTTCGTGCGGGCCATTTCAAAAGAAGGAGAGAAATACACTAACTTAGATAATAAACAGGATGTATCCTTTATATATCCTCAAAAACGCTCTGATTGGTTTTACGGGTTTTCAAAAGTCCCGCGCAGAGAAGCCATTGGCTGAAAGGTTAGCGAGGTGATTGGTGAATTAATACACACGGAATGAATTGCTCCACACCCATCCCTTCTCTTTTGTCTGATAAAAAGTTGATTTTTAATGTTCTAGCTTATTGTATTTCAAGTTGTGAATAGGGAACCACTTGGGGATTCTGAGAACTGCCAATTCTAAGTAGATCAATCTAATGGGGCCTTAGAGTCTGAGGACCACGCGTTGAGAACAGATTTACTTGAATTTTGTTTTCCCTAATAGAGACTGTTATCCTTAGAGCCCATATGACAGGAAATCCCCAGGCTACCACCCCCACCCAACTCCCGCAGGGGAGGATTTGCTGAACTGGAAAGTCGACAGTTCTCTATAGAGGAGGGAAGCCAAAGATAAACTTTTAGGTAACACTGGAGTCAAATTGTCCATCTGATGATTACTGAGGGTTGTAAACGTTCCCGTATTCAGTTTCTTGCTAACTATACTAAAACCCTTTCTTTAAAACGCCCCTTTTCCCAGGACCCATTTAGACTAATGTCAGTAAATAGTTAAGACATAACTACCGGGCAATTAACTGTAAAGACTATAGAGAGGGAGAGATACTACATGAATGTCCAAATTACACCAGGTACTTGCTCTTATGTGAAAATGTGTTGGCTCTGAAAAGAGCCTTTGAGTAAAACAAAAGTAGTAGGTTGTAAACATTGATATTTGGTTGTTTCACTTGCCCTTGGCCTTGTGGTGGCTCTCGGTCTTCTTGGGCAGCAGCACGGCCTGGATGTTGGGCAGCACGCCGCCCTGCGCGATGGTGACTTTGCCCAGCAGCTTGTTGAGCTCCTCGTCGTTGCGGATGGCCAGCTGCAGGTGGCGCGGGATGATGCGCGTCTTCTTGTTGTCGCGGGCCGCGTTGCCCGCCAGCTCCAGGATCTCGGCCGTCAGGTACTCCAGCACCGCCGCCAGGTACACGGGCGCGCCGGCCCCCACCCGCTCGGCGTAGTTGCCCTTGCGGAGCAGGCGGTGCACGCGGCCCACGGGGAACTGCAGCCCGGCCCGCGAGGAGCGCGTCTTGGCCTTGGCGCGCGCCTTCCCGCCCTGCTTTCCGCGTCCAGACATGCTGAACTTACAAATTTCTTACGAGCCAGTGAGAAAAAGGGAGCCGCCCCTTTTATAAACCTTTTTTGGGCGCGAAAATTGTGTCATCGGTTAAGACTGGCTTCATCCCGTGAAAATGCGACTTTGGGATTCTTGCGATCTGATTGGGCAGAGTCAGTATTTTTGACGTTACTCAAATAGCCACCAATAAGACACTGGACTTTAGCACCTTATTTGCATGCAAGGTTCTATATAAAAAGGACGCTTTGTTCTCTTCTCATAGTCTGTACTTTTTCTAACCACTGAGAAAGTTTGCCATCATGCCCGAGCCCGCCAAGTCCGCGCCCGCCCCGAAGAAGGGCTCCAAGAAGGCGGTGACCAAGGCGCAGAAGAAGGACGGCAAGAAGCGCAAGCGCAGCCGCAAGGAGAGCTACTCGGTGTACGTGTACAAGGTGCTGAAGCAGGTGCACCCCGACACCGGCATCTCGTCCAAGGCCATGGGCATCATGAACTCGTTCGTCAACGACATCTTCGAGCGCATCGCGGGCGAGGCGTCGCGCCTGGCGCATTACAACAAGCGCTCGACCATCACGTCCCGGGAGATCCAGACGGCCGTGCGCCTGCTGCTGCCCGGGGAGCTGGCCAAGCACGCCGTGTCCGAGGGCACCAAGGCCGTCACCAAGTACACCAGCTCCAAGTAGACTCGGAAGTTAGCTCCTTGACTCCTAATCCCAAAGGCTCTTTTAAGAGCCACTCATATGTCTCAAAGATCTGTAACTATAGACCTGGATGTTCAAGGTAACCTGGGTCATAAAAATTAAATTTACTGACCCCTGTTCCTTACTCCAGTTAGTAAAGACTTGTAAGCATCGGAATCATTTGCTGCTGTAGTAACAAATAAAAGGGGCCTAGGTTTGTTTTGATCTTTCAATCTTACACCACCTCGAAGCTGTAAATTGCCTCTTTCAGTTTGATTTTTCTCATCCAAGCCCGCTGTGTCCACGGAATGATTTACAGAAAGTATTCTTGTACTGCCAAGTAGCTAAATAGAGGAGGTGAGAGGGGAGGAGGGTCTCAGTGGAAAGGATGATGGACATCTGTAATTCTTTTTACAATAAAACAACTTAAGAAACTAAATAGTGCCTCTTGGCAAGGTGGGGAATTGTTGGACCGCCCTAATTTAATTCAATTTAATATCCGAGGATATAAGAAACAATATCCTGAGGGTGGAGAGAAACTATCTAGGTATGTAAATTTTTCAACTACCTGGAATTCCTAAGCAATGAGCTGACTTGATTGTCCTTCCGTGGGTCAGCTTCACTCCAGCCCCAAGGGTTCCCAGAGTTTCCCTAAACCACTGGTTCTCAACTTTCCTAATGCCGGGACCCTTCAATACAGTTTCTCATGTGGTGACCCCCAACCATAAAATTATTTTTGTTGCTCCTTCATAATTGTAATTTAGCTACTGTGATGAATCGCTATCAGAAATATGTGTTTTCAGATGGTCTTAGGCGACCCCTGTGAAAGGCTCGTTCCACCCCCAAAAGGGTCGCGACCCACAGGTTTAGAACAGCTGCCAAAACTTTGTCCAGAGTTGTGTTTTTGTTTTTGTTTTGTGTTTCTATTACAGTTGCTTTTTTATTTCCTGTGACTTTAAGGGAGAAGTGTTCCAGGACTTAACATTTGTGTGCTCCCCAGCATGTCACAGAGTTCATCCTGCAATCACCCCTGTGAGGTAACTGCCAGTTGACAGGTGGATGACCTGAGGCCTTCAGGTTGAGTACTGGCCCCTTACACACATAAATAAATAAAACAGATCTGAGTGTCCATCTGTCTAGTTCTAAGGACTGTTTCCACAGTATTTGCTAGACTTTTTCTCAAGGAAGAGGTCAGTTGTAATAATAGGAATGGAGAAAAGGCTCAAAGGGCATTCGATCAGAGTAAGAGAAAAGTAAAAGTGGCCAGGAGACACATGTTCTTTGAGTCCCAGGAAAGTCCTTAACCAGCCAAAGTTTCTTTAGAATATACTTTAAATAGGATTTGGAACATAAGGATCACCAGGCAGCAAATCTAACTTCTAAGGACTGTGGCATGAAGGGGGAACCATGGCCAATGGCAGAGTAAACCTGAGCTTAAAGATCTCATTTTCCACTTGTGAGCTACGTCTTTCTCTGCAAATGCCTACACAGCAGATATCTGTGAACATTAAATAAGTGACTCAGTTTTGTAATAGAGCTTGTAAAGAAAATTTCCTGAAGTCCACATATAATTAAGGCATTTATCTATGTTCTCTGAAGCAAAATTTAAATACGGTTTTTAAAACAATGTGTTCATAAAAAAAAAATTGTAGGTTAAGGGAAAATCCCTCTGGGCATGATGCAGTCCTGCCTACCTGTTTGAATGTTGAGTTTGGGCAAATTACTTAAATGCTCTGTGAGCGTTATTTTACCTCTCTAGAATGAGAATAATGAGTAACTATCACATCGTGTTGCTGGGGTGATCAATAAAAGAACACAAGTAAAGCACTTAGGACAGAGTGTCCTCCCAAATATTAGCTTTGGCGAAATCCTCGGATCGCAGTGTCAGTGGAAGTCCCTGGTTCCTGCCCACACTGAATCTGAGTTCCAAGGCCTGGAACAGGGCAGTAGGCCAAAAAGCCTGCTAACATTTGATGTCAATTAGGGTTCCTGGTGTGGCATTGTGAACAGTGCAAACTCCTTCTAACAGCCTAAGCTCCTTGTAGGGCCATCTCACCTCTGCACTGTTTTGAAGACTTCCTGTCATCACTCAGCTGCATTATTGTGTAACCTCTGAACTGATCCTGCTCCTACCCTGGCCTCATCACAGTGTATTCTACACAGGCATTCAGATAGATCATTTAAAAATACAAATCAGATCACATCCGTTCTCCGCTCAAAACCCTACAATGGCTCCCAGAGTAAGGGTTAGTGTTACATCTGTTCCATAGGACTAGGGTGTCAAGGTCCAGGTAGTTCTCACTAAATGCTATCCTTGCTAAAGGTTAAAATGCAACACGGTATTTTGCAGCTGTAACTGGAAGAGGTTGACAGGAACCCAACCAGATAAGAAGAAATCAATGTGTGAATAACCAGAGGCGGAGCTCTGAAAATTATTTCCCTGCCTCTTTTACTTGTCACAAGTAAAAATAAAACTTTTTCTTCCAACAAGACTGTGTTCCCTGTCTCAGATACTCCAAGTGGTGAAGCCATTGTGTTTGGTTACCAATTTGGTGACTCAGATGAGACCTAAAGGGGACTGCCTTGAGGCCTGGTGTGAACTGTCAGTACCAGTAGTTCATCTAGGACTTACTCTGCATCACCACCGGACAGAGAGCTGTTTCACAGGAGACTCCCACTCAGTGCTGACCAACAGCAAAGAGGAGTGGCCACTCTAACCTGTTTGGTTCACTGCTTGGGAAGGGAGGTGGGTAAGTCAGGCCCTGCGATCACTTTAATTCGTGTTTCTATTTGCATTTGGCTTCAGCTTGCTGGAGGATCAGTTTCAGGTCCGTTGATCCCTTGATTTCAGGTTGTTCAGGCAGGAACTGTGTCCAAGACCCTGGATTCAGGGCCCAACTTAGGCCTAACTCTGGAAAAAAGAAGTAAGTTACATTATTTTTATGTGTGTATATGAACTCTCACCAGATCTTTAACCATGGCTATTTTTAAGTCTAGCCATTCTTGCTAAGTCTAGGCAATCATTGTTTTTATTCTGGTGCTTTTTCAGTAATGTTTCATCTTCAGAGAAATTCATGGAGGAGACCCTGACACTCTAAGGCAGAAAACTTTAGGTACTCAAGTAATCCGTGTGACCAAATTTAAAGGCATTAACTCTTGGATGTTTAACACCTGGTGATGCCAGCCCCAGTAATGGTACCAGATTTAGAACGCTTTTCCTTAGATGGGTATTACAGTGAGCACAATGGCACTATTAGACAACAGAATTACTCTTCAGTACATTCTAGCAACCTCTTGGTCAGGCTTGTCTACTCCACACTAGAAATGTTTCACTGACAGATGGTACAATGACGTATCAGCGCTTGGAGCCTTCCCCAGTCGGGCTGCCAGAGAATTTCATTCCTAACTCAAAGACGTACTCTGTCCATGCTCCACACGAAGGAGTTACAGTAGTATGACCCCCATTCCCTCAAGAATGAGGAGTTAAAAAATCACAGGAAAATTGTGAGATATGACAAGGTCTCAAGGTCTGAGCAGTTCTTGAAAATGACAATGTCATTCTTGCAAAATATTAAAATGTAGCACAGTATTTTGCAGCTGCAACCAGATGAGCTTGACCAAGTTTAACTCACTGCAAAGAAGAAATCCATGTGTAATTAGCCAAATCCGGATAAATTTAGAAATCAGCATGTAATTAACAAAATGATGTACATAAGCCATGTCTAAGCCTCTCTTCAGGGAGGCACTGCTTTGGAAATTATTCCCCTGCCCTCCTGTTTTCTTGCAACAAGACTTGTGTTCCTTTGGCTCAGGTACTCCAAGCAGTGAACCCATTATGTTTAGTTACAAATTGGTCTACAAGGCCTTATGGGAACTACTCACCTCCAGAGCTTGTCTCCTTTCCTCCTGTGTGCAGCCACAGTAACTCCTTGCTACCTTCAGGCTTTCCTTCCTGGTCTTCCTTTTATTTGGCACTTTACTTTCTCACTGTTCTTCCCCAACGATCATTCTATTACTGCTCTTGCTAAATATTAAAATGCACAGTATTTTGCAGCTACAACCAGATGAGCTTGACCAACTCTTCCATTACCGTTATTTTAAAACATCACTTTTTCCCTGCTTCAGTGGTCTTCACAGCGCTTAGCACATTTGACATGCTATATGTTTGCTTGTTTCGTTTGCCCCTCCCAATAAAATATAAACTCCATGAATATAGAAATATTGTTTTGTTCACTGTTATAATTCCCAGTGTCTGGTATATGCCATGTGCTCAATTTCTTTGTTAAATTAACATCCTCGTGTAAGTTTATCTCCTCAAACTGGTGCCTTAGCTCCAACAAAATCTGATACTTTTCCTATGTAAGCACTAGAGTCCATATCTTTAAAATAGATGAGATTTAAAATGACTCCATTGATTTTCCCGATCTTAAAGTATCACCCTACACATTACTTGCCAAGGGAAGAGAAATACCTGATTTTACAATCACCCTAAGCCAGTGATCAGTCTGTTAGCTTGAATTTGGATAAGTCTAACAACATGTGTTCCTGATTATAATGTCATCTCTAAACTGTTTCTTGACAAGAATACTAACGTGATTTCAAAAAAAAATCTATGGAAATCCCTTCTACCTTGAAGAGCATACAGGGTATAGAAATCAAGTAAAATGACCCCATCAGGAAATAAGACAAACAGAACATCCTCTAAGTCAGAACACCAGCAAATCAAAGTCAAGAAAAAGTTGGGGATGGGGGCGAGAGGAAAAAACGTGTATTAAGAAACCTGACACTAAAAATGTAATTGGATCCACCTCTGAGCAAACCGTATCTCCTCTAGGACATTAGGGGCATAATAGGGATTTATACATGTGAGCTGAGTATTAGATATTAAGGAATCTGTTTTTAGTTAAGTGTGGTTACACAGATATTTTATTTTTTAATAGAGTATACTTATTAATTTGGGGTGTAGTATCTTGAGGCCTGTATGTATACTTCTAAATATGGTACTTCTGCTTACTAATTGTTTGGGTGGTATTTATATATTGTTGTCCATGAAGTAACAACCTCCTATGTAAGTTTTCTATAGTAAAGTCAGAGCTATATAGTCTTTATGCTGAACAATACTTGCCACCTGTCCAGCGTGGGCATTTCTAATTCTCCCTAGTGCCTTTCATACAGCACTTAGTGGTCAGGGCACACAGCCGCGCACACACCAGACATCGCTCTCCTGCCCGGGAACCACACGTCTGTCTGCTCGCGGACTTTGTATCGGACCCCCTCCGCCCGCACGGGCCCTTTGTCCCTCGCCCTCCGCCATTTTAAACGCGGGGACACTGGAGGGGAAAGGAGCGTCCCTGGCCACCTCCCGGGCACTATAACTCGACTTCTCCCTGGTATTCGGGAGCCATGCACACGCGTCTTCGCACCCGAAAAACTCGAAAACTGAAAAGGTTCGTGGGGAGCTAAACGACGCGCGAACTCCTTCGCTGAAACCTGAGTCCAAGCAAACTTACACTCAACACACGATTGCTGCAAAGAACAAAAGTGTATACCCAACAATGAACTCTCTGCGCCTGGCAATCAAACCCGGAGCTTAAAACTAAAGTTGGGTTATGACAGTTTTAATTGTGCATGTTACGAAGAAAAAGATGCTCCCTTTTACGGAAATGTGTGCGTGGTCCTGAAACGGGCACTTGGTAGAGAAAGGATTAAGTTGCTGAATATTGATTGGCGACTTAGACCCCGGACGCCTTAGAAGACGCCGTTGGAGCCGGAGCGCACAGGACGCGTCCCCTGTGGCGAGCTGGGAGGAGAGGGGGCCGGAGAGCTTGTGAACACCGGAGGGAACTCCTTCACAACTGCAAAGAGAGGCCCTCCAGGTCCGGAGAAAGTTAGACACCAGAGTGAGAAACGTGGAATTTACAAACGGCTTGGCCTCGGCCTTAAGGAGGCGCCCGGCCTGAAGGTAACGGTTTAGTAACGTTTAAACCCAAGCCCACCGTGTTGGAGGGTAACAAGCCAGCCGGGGTGCAGGGGTAGGCATGAGTCAAAAGTGTACCGACCCTTCCTGACCTCGAGCAAATTAAATATGAAAGCAATTTTACTAAGTCCTCCTTTGATCGGTCTGGATTCCCGAGAGGAAAACTGCACTCTCGCAGATCGTTTGTAAATTCATTGAGCCCTCGCCGAACCACCAGTAAAAAGACCTCTCAGCAAAGCTTCCCGTAGATGCCACAATGGATATTGCTCATCAAAAACGGGTTTTTACAAGGGACAAAGGGCGGCGAGAGGAGACACCTGCCAAAGACAAGACCTAAGAGCCAGACAATTGCCCTCAATGGTAGGGGCGGAGCTCGCTGAGAACGCCCTGCGTGCTTTCTTGCTTGTCCCTCCCCACACCACAGCAGCAAAGTTGCATAGAGCTCTTGTAAAGAAAGGGGGGGGCGGCCCTGAAAAGGGCCTTTGGTTTTGCTGTAGAAGCGGGTTGGTGGGTCCAGACTTAGCCTCCGAAGCCGTAGAGGGTGCGGCCCTGGCGCTTGAGCGCGTAGACCACGTCCATGGCCGTGACCGTCTTGCGCTTGGCGTGCTCCGTGTAGGTGACGGCGTCCCGGATCACGTTCTCCAGGAACACCTTGAGCACCCCGCGGGTCTCCTCGTAGATGAGCCCGGAGATGCGCTTGACGCCGCCGCGCCGGGCCAGGCGCCGGATGGCGGGCTTGGTGATGCCCTGGATGTTGTCGCGCAGCACCTTGCGGTGGCGCTTGGCGCCCCCCTTTCCGAGGCCCTTCCCGCCTTTGCCGCGACCAGACATGGCTACAGTTCTCAGACAAAAGCGAAACAGGTTGCCGCTGGACGACAACCCACTTATATACGCGGAGTGCGGACCTAATTGAGAACAGCAAGAGCGCAGTTCGACAGCGGTTACGTCACTGTAAACGAAATTCCGCCTCTCCTCACCTCCCGCCTTACGCCCTGGGTCCCCGGATGAGGATTCCGGAACTTTTAAACGACTGCTTAAAACTAAAGAAACTGACATTTATCCGTGTAGCAAAGTGGAAACCTGCTGAGAATTTTATGTTTATTTGAGCTAAACTGACGAAATGCGAGGGAGCAAGATCTCAAATGCTCTGGAGGACAGTTTAGTAGCTTCTTGTACGCATTTTCAATGAGGGAGGATTACACAAAGGTGAGAGGAAACGAGGTGCAGAAGAGTTAACAGGACCAGGTGCTCCCTGCAGCGTGGTTTCCCTCCCAGGGTCTTGAAAGAGTATCACTTCTGGCGTTTTCAGGGTGTGTTAACCTAGATGCCAACAGACAGCGCTCTCTTAAGGCGAAAATGCCCTTTTACTAAAGAATCGCAGGATTGGGGCTTGACTCCCCACCGCGACTGCCCAGTTAGGGGGTTGTGGTCAGAGCACCCTGTGAGGTTACTTTCGTTCACTACACAGAGCCCCTTGTCGTCTCACTGGTTCTCACTGGTTTGAGATAGTCGCACCTCAGTGGGATTGCGGGCCTCTCGGCCCAGTGTTTTCGGTGCCAAGGGCATGCGGGTCCCCGCGGCAAAGCTTTTCCAGCCAAACCCCACCTCCACCCATCCCCCGCGGAAGTCTAAAAACGGTCAGACCCCCTCTGCACACCAAGCCAGGGCGATCCAACCAAAAGGATGTTCTTCCCGAAGGCGAGGCAGCGGAGAAACTTGGCCGCCTCGAAAAACCAGGTTCCTTCCTGCATGTTTTTTTCTTCTCTGTGAATTAAAACCTGTCATTCTCATTTTAATAGCTAGCCACCCTCACCTCTGCACCCAGCAACTTATGTGTCAGTGTTTACGTCTCTGCTCCTAGTTCTGTCTTCTCTTTGATTCTGGTAGCGAAATTATTCCGAACAGAATTAGCAACTGGTGATAGTGGAGGTATTGAAAGAAATAAATAGACACGCTCCCGCGAGCTATTTTTAGGAAGAAATAGCCTGTAAATCATGTCTAAGTAGAGTTAAGAATACAATTAAAAGGCCAGCTTCTCGCAGGGAGCAGAGTGGCGCAGCGGAAGCGTGCTGGGCCCATAACCCAGAGGTCGATGGATCGAAACCATCCTCTGCTATCTTTACCTTTTTTCCAATTTAAATTCTTCAGTTTACTTTCACAATAAGAAAACAAAAGAAGCCTAGGCAAATTATCCAGTAGGGCCAATGCTCTCAGGTACTGGGATTTAAGGGAATTCCTTCTGTGAACAGTGCTGACATTTCAAACTAGGTGCCTGAGGTCACCATGCACTGACGAGCTTGAAAGATGCCATCCTAAATACAATTTTAAATCTATTTCACATCATTGGGCTGAGCACTCTACAGAACACTATAAAGTCTATACATATCTTGTCCATAGAACAAGTTTATTGAAACACGTTTTCGTGTAGATTTATCTATTCAATGTTAACAGTTAAAATGTTTAAAATTTTACCATAGTGATTTTTTAACTTGAAAGATTCCGGACGGGGCTGAAAGCTCATTATCCTTTCTGAGGAAATTGCTATTGTCGAGGACCACGTGGCCTAACGGATAAGGCGTCTGACTTCGGATCAGGAGATTGAGGGTTCGAATCCCTTCGTGGTTAGATTTCATTCCTGCGTGTTCTTACGCAAATTGACTGCCCTGACCCGCAGGGGGTGTCAAATGTTACCTGCTTCACCATTTTCTTTTTTCCAGCTCTAACTTTAAAGAAATCATTCTAGAAAGCCTTGGGAGAACCAGTGTCTAGGGTGAAGGGAGGCTGAAAGTCAATTGAAATAAGGCTCTTCAATAAATTCGGGACTCTCGAGTTCCCAAATTTGGGTTTTGAGCGCCCAAGTTTCATTTTCACAGGCTCAGCTTGTCCTGGGCCACTTGTAGAAAGGAATTCAGATCTGTCAACGGAGCGCTTTGCAACGGCTGAGTCTCCGCACAGTGGGAAACCTGTTGCTTTGCATCCAGTCTGAGTCCCTGTGTCCTTTCGAGTTCTGGCTGCTGTGAAGTCTGTGTTACTGTTTTTCACTTTTCCCCTCCTTTTCCACCTTCCTTTCTTCCTTTTGGCTGCGTTGCCATGCAACGAATGAGAACAGTTTGTATTCCAACCTAAATTACAGAGCGGAAATACTAAGGTCATTAAAGGATCCCAAGTGTTTACATAGCGTGTATGCAAACTGAAACATAGAGAAGACAGCTGCACAAAATATAAAAACACACATTTTTTTGCCTGAATCACTGAACTGAATAATAATTTAGGATGAAGAAAAAGTAATTTCCAACTGTTGACTTCATGGTGAAACATGGTGCTTCATTTCAGATGCTCTTGCTAGGTCAAAGCCATGAATAATTGAAACAAGGTAGTGATGGCTCCTTCCTTTCCGAAGCCTGTGTCTTAGACCTGCTGTCTGACTGTTTCTTCTAGTCACCTGTAAAGTCGAGATTGTGCAGAGAAAACAAAGAGGTTTAGCTCTTTTCTGCTTAATGTATTCCTCTGACCTTCCCTCTTTAGTACTTAGAGGAGGAGGGGAAACAGACCCTTTGGGTCTGAAAGAGGTGAGGAGCAAAGGTGAGGAACAGAGGCAAAATTGCCCCGGGTCTACTTTCCTACTTTGGGACAATACAAGAGATGGGCACATTAAAAAAAGAGACAAACACCCTGGGTTTATTCTGCTTGGATGAAGTTTCAGCCCCTTCCCCTGCCACCACATCCACACAGTGTGCCTTTAAGTGTTTATTTTACAGTTCTCTGTTGAATGTTTACAGTGTGCAAAGTTACAGAAACAGGATATAAAGGGGGGTGGCACATACCCTTGGAACTTTATTCTCAAAGAAGGTAAATTGGGGAGGGAGTGACAGGAAGGGCAAGGCTGCTCAAGCATCCATAGCATTAATAATTATCTTGGATTCTTTGTTGGAGAAAAAGCAAAATATACAAAGCATATCACCCAGTTCCTGAAGACTCCACTTTGGCTGCCAATCTAGATGATCACCTCCTGAGCTCTTATTTCCAAAATTAAATGTGTTAAAGTTTGAAAGCCATTACAAACTTATACTATATAGGCCATATATTGTTAGGTGAAATTCAAAAACAGATGCCACTTTAAAAATCTATGCTTCTTAGGTCTCAATCTCCATGAGACCTTGGGAGATACTCCAGCTTATGACAAGTATACTTCAGAAGACTTCTCCAGGTCTCAAAATTTGAAATCACAGTCTCAGAATTTGAACATGTTGGGCTTCATCGCTTCAACTGCTTGATCTAAAAGAACTTGGTTCCCATGAACCTGAAAAGGAAAGACTGGGTTTTTCTGGTCTGCACCTCAGTTTCCTCATCTGTAAGATAGAAACAGGTGATAGAGGAGGACATTTCAGAGAGATCATCTCTATAGTCTCTTCAAATTCTGTTACTCTATACTGTGCCTGGCCCCTTGCTGTAGATTAGTCTAAGGTGAAAACAGGTGACAGATGAGATTTTTATGGGAGCATGTTCTAAAATTAAAGTGTTCATGGCGGAATACAATTACAGAAGGGAGAAATACTTAGAGACTGAAGTACTTGGAAGAGATCTTCAGTTTAAATTAATTCAACTAAAATACAAAGAGAAGAATAATGCTTTCCTTTGCAGGTTCACAGGAAAGGGACACTTGCCTGTGGGCAGCTCCTGATGCTGGGGTCAGACAAAGCTGACGTTTAAGGGGAAGTTGGGAATGTAGAAAGTGATAAGGTGTCCAGAAAGAGCCTTGGACTTGAAAATGCACCTGAGATTTAAAAGGCAAAGAATAGACCACATCAAAATTACAAGTAAACTATAGAATAAGCATCATTCAGAACCGCCTGACATGGAGATGAATGGAAGTCCTACAACTATGAGATTAAACAAGGAGCCACATGGAGACTAGTAGGAGGGCAGAGGGGGATGGGCTGGTCCCACACCCATGTGTGGCGGATACAAATCAAGAGCACACCTTGGCTGGGAAGGTCTTCCTTGAGGAGTGAGGGATCCCCATCCTACACTAGATTCCCAACTCCGGGTTCCAGTGCCAGGAAAAGAAGTACCATAATGTCTGGCTGTAAAAACCAGCAGGAATGGAGGCTGAGGGAGAGGGAGGCTTCTAGAGCCCCAAGCAGCTCCTCTTAAAGGGCTCCGGCACTCACGGACTTAATCGGACTCACTCCCTCCAGACTCCAGCATCATGGAGACAATTTGAAAGTCACCAGAGACAAACGGGGAAGAACTGGGTTGTTTGGTATCTGGGCAAGAGCTGTTGGGCAGCTTTCTCCTGGACAGGACAGATGTGTTGGTGGAGGTCACTGTTCCTTTGCTGAGCCCTTCCGCATGGGGCAGGCAGACAGGCACCATATCTGAGACTTCAGCACCTGGCTCATACTGTTTGCCCTGCCCTAGTAATTCCCTGAGGCCCCGCCCCACCCCACCCAACCTTCGGGCCCACCCAAGCTGTTTCCAGTGGCTTTACAATAGAATTGGCCTGTCTTGGCTCCTGCTTCAGATTTTCCCAAATTCTCTCAAACAAGCAGTATCTAGTCTCAGCCCCATACCTCTTACTAAGTGACCCCAGGCCTGGCACGAGAAGCAGCCAGCCTTGGTTCACAACTTGGCTTTTCCTGGGCACCTCCAAGCCCAGCACAAGAAGCAGCCATCAGCAGATCACTTTGTAGCTTATGCCTGGCGGCCTCAGATAGAATACAAGCAGTGGGTGACCCTGCCCTCTTGTGGCACGACAGAGTCAAAGAAAGACCACTAGAGAATTGAAGTCCAAATAAGAGCCATTTATTAGCCGGACGGCCGGCATCTGATTCCGAACACCTCTGTGACAGAGTC